CAATGGGGCTAACCGTCAACCGTCAAATGGCAAAAATATTAGCCGTCAACCGTCAAAAACGCAATATCTTTACCGCCAACCGTCAAATAAGCAGGCCAATGCTAGCCGTCAAACGTCTCAGACATCCTTAATTAAGAACTAAAAGATTGCCTTAATCGGGGTCAAGTTCTGTTGTTTATAAATGAAAGTTTTGATATATCACAAATATACATTTATATAAGTCCTTTTAACGTCTTGTCGCGGGCGATTATAACTGGTTAGCGACAGAACTGACTTCCGGTGTGGAAACACTTGCGGTGTCGTAGAAAGTTAGTAACTTATTAATAAAAGGTGTTACAAATTAACAAGGTAGTTTGATTATATCCACTAAGTTGAAATTGTAAATTGGTCACCGTAACGAATAAAAAAACCTGACCTTTCGAGCGTTAGCCCTTCGTCAGAAGTTTCTTTAGAAACTTTCAGCCGTTAAAAATTAACAGTGCTTTACAAACGCGTCATTATGAAAAATTACTGCGAAATTCGCGCGTTTAGTTCGTTTTATAAACGATATTCCAAAAGCTAACAGTCAACCGTCAAATGACCTAAAATTTCACCGTCAACCGTCAAAAGGGCTTGTTTTGAACTGTCAATCGTCAACGCGACCCTCCCTATTGAGACTCTCGAACAATAACGCCAGAATTCTCGAAGCTTACTTGGAGATCAGGAGTCCGTTTCTCGAAAGTCCCGGTAACTTAACGGGCCCGTAAAGCTGTTCTGTTTTCATTTAAGATGGGGATTTCAAAAGTTTAGAAAATGATACAATAAAACTATCAGCTAAACAAAGAAAAAGGACTAGTCTGGGCGGTAGAACCTGTTTCCTATCCTTTAAATTTTGATTTTAAAACATGGCTTTGGGCCGCGTTTCAGTAATTACAGGGCATTTCGAGAAACGGGCCCCAGGAAAGAGTTCAAACGATCTACAATGTCAATCTCAGTGGATGAGAAGACAGCCTTAAAGGATGTTAAAGAGTTTCGTGTCTCGAGATAACTGTACATAGCGAGTAGCAATTGTATCAGTCACAGGTGTCTCTCTATAAGTATTGTGATTATCTCGTTTCGGCTCAGTCAACCAAACATCAAGAGCTGAGTGTTTGTTAGTTAGAAATGATGCTGCATTTATGCCTAAGCCACCCATTTCCGAGACGGTCTAAGACCCTAACTGATATAGAGCGAGCTCATGGGTATAACTGCGATAAGAAAATTACCTAAGTTTTCACCTAGCCTTACTTTACGGGTGAAGAATTTTTACAGCAGAAGTCGGAAATAGTTAATTCTACATATTCATTCTAAATACACATTCATAATGCAGCTAGTGCAAGTTAATTCAGTCAAATGATGTTTGCGATATTCATGAAAACATTTAAAGTTTAAATCAGCGATGCATCCCGACTTTTTAATTAATTTACATATTAACTGTCCAATGGAGTTGTATGCACCTAATAGTAAATGCGCATCTGGCTCTGTGGGATGAAAAATCAGGCTTTAACTAGATGAGGCCAGATCTAATCACGCATGCATAGGTGACAAAACAAATCGTTAACTGACGAAACCAGAGAAAGGATTTTGTATGACATCTTTAATTAATTCTTCCCAGAAAATCCAAATTTCATAAATATTTCTTAAAAATCTATTTCTGCCAAATACTAATCTTTTACAAATATAATTTTAACCGTGTTTTCAATCACCTCTGAAAACTCTTCCTCCTTAAATTTACCTTTTAATGATACATGCTTCACAAATTTCTCCTAATTTCTAGATTAACCCTTTCCTTGGAGCATTGGCGTTATTTCAATTTGGTCCTGAATGATCAGGGGCTCAAACTTGTGTGACTCCCTAGCAACCATGAATACGCTAACATGGCGCTTTACAATAAGTATAAGAAATTGATTAAAATTAATTTAAAAATGAACTCAATAACTTTCGATAAATATAGGAAATAAACATGTTTTTAGATTCTTTTTAAATAAAGGCAGTGTTCCGACATTTCTGACTTTCTGACGCGGCTAGGCCATTCCATAGTTTTGGTCCAAAGACTGAGAATGCTCTATCTCCATATGTTTTTGTTCTTGATGTTGGTGTTGCTAGGAGTCCTAAGGAGCTTGAGCACAATACACGAGATGATTTTCTCTCCTGTAATAGTTCAGAGACATACCCAGGGCACAGTCCATGACCAGCTTTGTAGACAAGGAGTTAAATTTTGAAAACAGCGGGATACGAACTAGGAAGCCACTTTATTTTAACTTATCTTTCAGTTGACTTAATGCGAATGTATCCTAATTACTCAAAATAATCGCTTCGGTTAAAATGTATCCTCATAATGGATGAAGAAAAGCATGCTTTTTTCTTTGCTTATAGGATGCTAAGGAAGCTTTGAAATTTATGGAACAGAATATCATTCGGTATTCAAATATGGTGCCAAGAATAGTTGACTTGGTTCAGGTACACATTCCATTCCGTGTTTAACTTTTGTTTGAATCAAGTTTCATTTCCAGAGATGTTTAATTCATGACTTTTACCATTTGCTTCGTCTTGATTAAGTGTAAAACTTGCGTTAAAAGTTCCTTTCAACGGAAATTTGGAAATTGAATTTAACATTCACTTTAAAGATATAAGCCTCAATGAGAGTCCGATACGGAAAAATGTCGTATTTTTCATTGAAACAGGTTTTTTGGTTATCAAGGACTCAAACAAAGAGAAAATTTGTTCTCTAAAATCTAAAAGTACAAGCACATAACATCAAAAACGTTTCCCTGATAAGGTGCCCTTAATAACACATATACAATTTAAATGGAAAAAAAAACAAAATTTCTTTCATTTCCTCCTCTCCAAACTCGAAAACCTACTGCACGGGCCCATTGGTTCGATATCGGGATCCCCTTCTGCACCTAGAAACAGGACTTATGCGTTATTAACCAAGCGTGAGAATATTGGCCGAGTTCTTTTTTTTCGCAAGTTTATGGATGAGACGAAGTCGAGGTCCATAAAAATGCGAAAAAAATAACGAGGCTAACATCCAGCCATCTTGACCCAACAAGCTTGGCTAATAAAGGATTTATTATATTGCAAAAAGATTTCGTTTTATTAAGAATTAAGAATGACTTCTTTACTTC